TTGGGGTGATGGGAGGAGGGACAAGGGGGTCCTCAAGGGTCCTCCCCCAGCTCTAAGGGACCTGCTGACATTGGGGAGGGGACAAGGAGGTCCCCAAGAGACTCCCCCAGCTCCAAGAGCATGTGCTGACACCAGCAAGGGGACAAGAAGGTCCCCAAGATCTTCTCCAGCTCTAGGGGACAGTGGGGAGACGGACACGTGGACATCCCCACGGGTCCCCTCCAGCTCTAAGGGACATGATGACGTTGGGGAGGGGACAAGGGGGTCCCTGAGCCTGCCCCAATCTCTGGGGGGGACACACTGACACCAGGGAGGTGACAAGGAGGTCCCCAAATCTCCCTTGATCTCAGATGGGACACGTTGACACCAAGGGGGTCCCCACACCTCTCCTGAGATCTAGGGGGACACGACACCAAGGAGGAGGTGACAAGGGTGTCCTCAGGCCTCCCTTCATCTCAGGGGGGACATGCTGACACCAAGGGGGGCCCCAAACCTCCCCTGAGATCCAGGGGGACACGACACCACCAAGGAGGTCCCCAAACCTCCCTTGATCTCTAGAGGGACAAGATATCATCAAGGAGGTCCCCAAACCTCCCCAGCTCTCACGAAGGTGACCCGCTGCCACCAAAGCTGGGGGCGATCCCCAGAGGGGCTCCCCCCGGAGTCTCCCGGCCTCACCGTCTCGTAGTCGCGCAGGGCGGCCTTGAACTTGCCCAGGGCCATGTTGCTGGCGGCGCGGCGGTAGTAGCCCTTGACGTACTTCTTGTCGAGCTCGACGGCGCGCGTGGCGTCGGCCAGGGCGTAGCCGTAGCACTCGGTGCGCAGGTAGGCCAGGCTGCGGTTGCCATAGTAGATGGCGTTGGCGGGGTTCAGCTCGATGGCGCTGCTGTAGTACTTCACCGCGTTCTCGTAGTCCTTCCCTGGGCGGCCGGCGGGCGTCAGAGGGGTGGGACCCCCCCACCCACAGGGGGGACCCCCATCCCTGTCTAGCTGGCAGCTTCCCAGGGCTCCCAGTCTGGCATTACCCCCAGTCTGGCAACCCCCATTACCCCCCGGGGCTCCCAATCTGGCAGCCCCCATGGCTCA